TAAACCCTACATCCCTAACCCTAAACCCCAAACCCTTCATCCTTATGCCCTTAATTTGAAACCCTAGCAAAAACTTAACACAGGTGGCACGTCGGCCCGCATCCGCGGCCACGGATGCTAAAGAGCTGACTGAGGCAACGCCGTTTCAGACAATGAGGGACCTTTAAGACTCCAATATCCCTTAATTAAGGAATAGACCTTAAATTCTAGTAGTATCCCTAATATGATTTAAGGTATATTCCTTAATTAAGGGATATTGGAGTCTCTGGGACCCCAGCCCTAACTCACCCGACTAAACCCTAACCCCACCTAGAGCAACCGTGGTATTTCACAAAGGGATATGTACCGGATTGTTTTAAAACAATACAATCCGAGACTTGTTTTAAAACAATCCGAGACATGTTCTTGGGTCATCTCCTTTTGCTGAATGTGCATTGGCTAGTCTAGGTAAGCCCTAATCCGTAACCCGAAAATCACTTCGGAGAAACGAAGGGTCTGAAGTACAGCGCAATTAAGGTCCTGTATACTTGGGCTAAGAGCAGAGGTAGACAACTGGACGGAAATGCTTCGGGTAGTATGGGATTATTGGGTACTTGGACAAGCTCCTAAACGGTAGCATCCCGTTCCGAAGCACCCGTTTATTAATCAGAAAAGCCAGAGAGGGCCGACGATGCATGCAGGTTGCCTTTAGTCAGGAGGGGGCCACAGCCCTAAAACCCTAGAGCCCTAGACCAGACCCCTAAACCCTGAACCTGAAACCCCCTAACCCTAAGCCCTAAACCTGACACCCTGACACCCTAAACATCCTAAACCCAAAAGCCCTAAACCCTGGTATGTACTTTTGGGGCCAAAATATCTACTAAGTAGCTACTATTACTATTGGTACTCGGACCTAAGCCCTATAAGCCCTAAGCCGCCTTTGGGAAGGTGAAGAAGGCGTGCCCCGCTCGCTCCTCCCCGCGCTGGTCTGGGGTCTCCTGGTGCGCTGTGATCTTGGCTTGGAGCCTGCCGCTTGGCTTACAAGGGGCGTTCAGAACATAGTTTGAGGGTTGAGGGTTTTGGGTTTAGGGTTTGGGATGGTTTGGCGTATTGAAGGGGGTTTCAGACAAGTTGATGGGTTTTAAAGTCTTTAGGGTTTGCGTTACGAGTCTGGAGTGCAGGGTAAAAGGCTCGGTGCTTCAATGCAGATCCAAAAGGGATTCCGGGATTAGAGCTGAGGTTACCGTTGTGGTCTTCATCGTCTCACTAAAAATGCTTTAATAATTAGAACAGGGTTTGGTGAGACGGTGCTCGAAGTGGGGAAAGGGCGGCTGGTGGACTCATCTGGAGGTGTTCTGGATATATACCTTAAATCATATTAGGATCCCTACTATAACATAAGGTATTCCTTAATTACTGTAAGGGGTATTGGAGTCTCTGGGAGCCTTTAAACCTTAACCCCTAAACCCTTAAAGCCTATGCCTGTTCACCGATCAGGCGTGCCCGACTGCAGGATGGTGCTTCGCTGGTTTTACATTTTAGGGTTTAGGGTTTAGGGTTTAGGGTTTAGGGTTTAGGGTTAAGCTCAAGTTGAGGCCATTGAACTTCGACAAGTTTTTCTGCACGCAACGCGTTTAAGCTCGAAGCCTAGATGCTCTGTGCTTGCGATCGCTTATAAGGTTAAGTATGGGCCCCGAGTCAGGCCCTAGTATGGACCCCTTATAGGCCTTTTAAGGGGATTCCGGGGACCCATAAGGGTATATGTATGTATGTATGTATGTATGTATGTATGTATGTACGTATGTATGTATAGAGTGTATAGTAGGTATATAGGGTCCTAGGGTTAAGGGCCCATACTTGGGGCGCAGGGTTTCAACATTAGAGGTCAGAGGTCGCTTGTTTTGCCTGAAGCATTTGTCCCAAAACCCTCGGTTTAGAGTGCAGGGTTTTGACTACTTATTTAGCCGAGGTACCTTGCTGGGGACATGTGGTCTCCCCTCACCTGGGGCATGATTGAGGACGGGCAGGTGGGAGTAGCTGAGTAGCTCATGTTCAAGTTATGAGATCTGTCTTCTCGTCGCTTGTGTCACTGGTAACCTTCTTTTCTTGATCGAACTGTGCTGCTTTCAGCAGTATGCTTATGAGTTTCCAGTATCCTTGCCATTCAGCCAGACTAAAACCGTGATGCTCGCTCGGCAGGTGGTTGGGTCGGAGAGCGACGACGTCGCCTAAGCCCTAGAAGACCTCGAACCTTTGAGTCTCTTTTGCCGGGTACCGCGAAGCCTAGATCCCCAGGACCCCAGGCACAATATAGGGGCCTTAATAATTAGAATAGGGTTTTGGGGCCCATTATACTATACTTGTAATAAGGAACCCCAGAAAATAGTATTGGTAATTATTCAGGCCCCTGCATTAGACCCCTAAACTCGGAACCTGCACCCCCGAAGCACACGCAAACCCAAAACCCCACCGAGCGCAGATCGCGGACACGACAGCTGATGAAGACTTGGCAGGGCCCCGCGACTGCAAATTGAGGTTTACTCTGCCGGTTACAGTCGTTCAGGTCACAGGCGTTTCGCGGGCTTGTCACCCACCTTTGTTTTTTGCCTAGGGTCTTTGGGGTGGGGGGAGGGTTGACGTAGCCGCAGCAATTCCTGCTGGTTTAGGGCTTAGGGAGACCTACCACCAAATCCAGCACCCCAAGATCAGAACCCCAAAGTTGGCAGAATGAAAGGGGGTTTTTCGCCCAATGGCCTGTTTCTTGAATCTGTTTCCCAAAAATGAGGGGGGTTGACGAGCTAGAGCTAATTTGCATGGAGGCCACTTCGACAGCGTAATGTAAGAGAGTAGGCATCTAGTCACTTCCCCCTAACAGCCGCATTCCGCCCTCCCCCGTTGGACCTCTGTCTATTATATGGGACTTTCCAAAAATTAGGGTATCTTATTTTGGGGGTGCCTATAATAAGGATCCTATTATTTAGGGTACTATATTAGGATCCCCTATTTTCGGAAACCCCCATATGGGTCTGGACCAGCTTCTGGGTTGATTCGGGATGAGGTAGTTTAGGGTTTGGGGGTGGGCACTGAAACGCTGAAGCAGGGCTGGCATCCCGCTTGCTGCTCGGAACGATTCCTTAAACGCAAAGTGTGAATTGTTACAACGCCGTTTGGCATGATCAAACAAGACCTCTTGTGTCGTTTATGTGTCCGGGCCCAATGTTCAAAGGGCAGAGCAGTTTGTTTCCATACATAGAAAAATAGTGGTATCTGGTAGTCGTCATACTACTCACGTTACACCTATCAGTGACCGCTTATCCGACCCTGCGACCTAAGTCTTAACCCACGGCTTCGCGTGCTAGTGGAATTAAGAACCATGCTGCGCCTCTGAACAAAGCCTCCGTTTCCCTAAACCCTAAACCCTGATTCCAGTTCCCTAAACCCTAAACCCAGAACCCTAAACCCTAAATCAGAGCCTTCAACCCAGAACAAACGGCGAGGGATGCTCTGAACCCGACAACATACCATACCCTCAATGGGTCGGAGCGTCTGAGAAATTATAGAACCCACACCCATAGCCCAACCCTACACCCTAAACGTCCACACTCCCGCAAGACGCAGAGCCCCCCAGGAGCCGGAACTTGGCCCAAAATGCAGCATCGAGGCCGGCGATCGATGCCTTCCGCATCGTAGCAGCTTGTTGGTAGTAACGGGATGCGACGATTCGTTGTTCCCGGGCATGTAGATTTGCTTACAATGGGTATTGTATTCTTGTTTCTAAATTCTAAACACAGCTGGACCCCTACGACGCCGTTGAAGCCATTCTTCCCTCCTACAAGACCCGTGCAAAAATCATAGTATACAAGGCCTAAAGGCCTAAAGCTTCAAAATGCACTGAAACTAAGCATCAACTACTGAAGCTCTCTGGAATCCTTTCGAACAAGCATGAACCCTACACCCAGGCCCAGCAGCCTATGATGTGCTCGTTTGGATCCCCGAAGCCCTAAAACCAAGGTCGAAGTACGAAGGCTCCTAGACTAAGCCCTTATCATATCCCATGTAGAACCCCTTTAAAGAACCCTTGGAGACCATCCTACCATCCTTCAAAGAGAACTTTAAAGAAAGCCTGTTCCAACTCCTATAGGGGCCCCTCTGCACGAATTTCTGGCGAGGCTTCGCGAGCTGGGTCACTTGCAGCTCTCTGTGTCGGACCACCCGTCCTAAACCCTAAACCCTAAACCCAATGACAAGGGGGACCTCCTGGAAGGTTTCCTTTACCTAGACCCTCCATCTACCTTTTATTACACCCTAAATACCCCTCATTTGGGACCATCTACCCTTATTTCAGGGTACAAGGAGGGTCATGGTAAGGAATCCTTTTAGGGTTCCTTGAAGGGCGCCGTGTTAGGGCTCCTGTAAGGGTTCCGTCAACAGATTGGGTTCCTTGACCGGGGACTCTTAGGGTTACCATCAAGGGTACTATACCTGCGGCCGGAAAGACCTACGTTTTCAGGGTCCCTTTTTAGGTTTGCAATATGTATATATATATATATATATGTGTGTGTGTATATATATATAGTTCCTTGGAAAGGTAGGTCTTTCCGGCTACAGGTAAGGGTTACTACAACTAAAAGTTGCTCCCCGTGAGGGCTGTGATGAGAGCTAGGGTTTAGGATTGGGGTTTGAGGGTTTTAGAGTTCAGGTTATTGTAGGTTTTACTGCAATACTATTCGGATCACTGCAAAGGTTTGGGGGTTTTCAGGCGTTCGGGTTTTTAGGGTTTGGGGTTTTCAGTGCTATCACAAGTTACAGCCTAGCGTTTGCGGTCTGCATAAGGTTTTCAGACTGACAGGACAACGGCCTTGACCACTCCAGAAGCACACGGTTTAGGATTTAGGGGTTTAGGTTTTAGGTTCTTTTCGAAGGCTCCCTGTAGTCTTTGTTTAGTTATTTGTTGATCTTTAGTATGTACGTTCGTGTTACTGCCTAAACAGTCTTAAAGAACCCCAGGCTGTTGATGAATGAGTCACTGTTAGTCTCTGAATTCAGACGTAGTGTTGGGCTTAAAGTGCAGAATTTGGAGCCAAAGCCCAGACAGGACTGCCACGGCGCTGCGAAACTCTTTGCTCGTGCTGAGGCCAGCAGTCTCACGCAGGGATGGTTTCCCAAACCCGAAACCTGAAACCCTCTACTGACTTTCTGCTACCACTACTGCTACTACGACGACGACAAGTTCCACTGACTGCTGCTGCCAATGATAGGAAACGAGTGGATGGTGAGCTGCGTCAGCAAGTGGCAGAGCTATTACAGCACCAGTACAGTTGATGATGTAAATCCTGCATTACCCATAGTAAGGAATATACCATCATTTCCATAGTTCTGGGTCCTTATTAAGGTAATGCAGGGCTTATATCATCAGCAGTAGTAGTACTTGGAAGATGTCGTATTGACGACACCCCTAACAGCCCTAACACCCGAAACCCTGCCAGGTGCTTCTGGGAAACAGTCCGTGCCTGAGCTTCCTTCTCTTCTCGGGTGCCCGAGACTTTGACTGCTTAGCCACAGGACTGTTGTCTACAACTCCTGCAGCTCCTCCTCTTAGAGTTCTCTCCTCAAGCGCGGCTTAATATAGGAGCCGAGCAAAATCCAATATTGATCCTTGGGTTTTTCATCATTAATATAATATACCCCCAATGCCCCTTTCATAATTATTCGGGCCCCTTTAGTAATCTCTTTGTGTTCGAAAGATCAGGGCTCTACCTAAGCGGAACGAACCTAGCGACCCGACCCCACATCGGAAATAAACGCTGAAAGCCCTAAGCCCTAAGCCGAGGATGCGACTTAGGGTTCAGGGTTTGGGTTCACCTGGGCACCCAAAAAAAGAACCTACCTTTTCAGGGCTCCTTATTCTGATTTGTTGTATAAGTCCTTCCAAAGGTAGGTTCTTTGGGGTCTAAACCCTAAACCCTAAACCCTAAACCCTAAACCCTAAACCCTAAACCCTAAACCCTAGACTAGGGTTTAGGGTTTGGGGACCAGGGACCTGGGCTCGTTTCCATACGCCGGATTCGTTTTATTTGCCCAGTTCAAACCTAGAGTCTAGGTACGTAGAAAACCCAACAGCGGTAACGTGTTATACTGGCAATATAGGGGCCTTAATAATTAGAACAGGGTTTGGTGGTATCTTTTACTATAATTATAATACGGAACCCCTAAAACCCTGTTCTAATTATGAAGGCCCCTACATTAACCTTCAAGCAAAATCCTCAACCTACATCCCACAGACAGCCAGTTGGTCGCGCTGAGAACCCCCAACCCAGATCCAACTCCAAACCCTAACCCGCCAAACCACGAATCCAGAAGCCCATAAAGCCACAAAAACCAAAATAAAACAACAAAACCTAGACCGTAAACCCTAAACCCAAAATTTTGGCTAACCCTAAAACCCGAAACCCAAACCCTGAACCCTAAACCCTTAAAGTAAGACACCCCTAAAGGGAACTCTTTTTATAGAACCTTATAGTCCTCGAAAAGGAACCCTACAGTTAAGGGCCTAAGCCCTGGTTTTTAACTCCTTGGCACTTAGCTTGGCCCTCAGACCCCGAACTTGTTGGGGTCTTCTTGTGTTACATAAGTTTATGGGTACCTAAAGGTTAACAGGGGTCCTAAGTGCCATGGTACTATGGAGCCCTGTGTAGGACTCATGTTGATTAGAAGGACCTGCCAAAACGGGACCTTCTCACCCTAAACCCTAAACCCTAAACCCTAAACCCTAAACCCTAAACCCTCATCTTCATAGGGTCCCTCATCTTCATAGGGACCCCTCATCCCCCCCTCGCGGAAAACTATAGATTTTCTGTTTGCTTCAGGAAGGACTTCCTGAGTCGGCATCCTATAAGTCTAAGGTTGGAACCATGGGCGCCTAGTATGGGTTCAGGGTTTCGGGTTAAGGGCGCTTAACTCTGGGATCTGAGTAGATACCTACTATATACCCTATGTGAACCCTTCAGAGTTAAAATAGGGGTCTGAATAATTACCTAATTATACTATTTTTTGGGGGGGTTCCTCATTATGACTATAGTATAATATACCCCCAAACCCTGTGCTAATTATTGAGGCCCCTACATCACTCAGGAACCCTAAACCCAGACCCACCGACCAGACTCCGCGCCGGTGGCTCAGCTTTTGGAGCTGCGCCGCGAGAGAGGCGGTCGAGGGTTCGGGGGTTTGTTCTTTTAAAGGTTCCTTTGAGGTCCTATAAGAGTTTCTATAAGGGTTCTTTTGTTCTTTTAAAGGTTCCTGTAAAGGCCCTAAAAGAGTTTCTATTAGGGTTCTATGAGGGTTTAGGGTTTCGGGGTTCAGGTTGGGGTTTAGGGTCTAAAGGACTAGGGCCGAAGGTTTAGGGTTTTAGAGTGTTTAGCGTCTAGCGTTTTAGGGTTCAGGGTTTAGGGTTTAAGGTTCGGGGTTCGAGTTTAGAGTCTACGGTTGTAATGGTGGAGGGTTTACAGTAGGGGTTTGTCAAAGACCACGGGCGGAACAGAATGTTCCATCAAGTTTGCAAAGGGCCTCACAACAGCTTGAAATCCTAATCCCGAAGGCGATGCACGTGTTTACGACAACGGCTTCCTAGAGTTTGGTCTAAGTTGCAGCCGAATGTATCAACACCTTTACTAATGTTTCTGCACCCCGCCAGATTTCTGGGTACCTCAGTCATATGATATACGCATGACCGGACCGGCTGCTTTCAAATCGAGCCCCGTAGCGAAGCTCAAACCTATACTAAACCCTAAACCCTAAACCCTAAACTGAAACCCTGAACCCTGAACCCTAAACCGAAACCATGAATCCTAAATGGGTTGCGATTCCGCAGACTCGGAGCCTTCAACATTTTCAGGAGGTATACAAAGAAGTCATAAAAAGGAGCCCGACCTGTAGGCTTCTAAAGGCCAAGGTATATAAAAGCCCTTAGAAACCCTTATAGATCCCTTTAAGGAGCCCCCTAAAGAGGGACCGTATAAGTTAGAGAGCTACCCAAGTTCTTGCAGCCAGGATTTGCCTTGGTCTGTGCACAGCACTTCAGCGAAGGTGCTGCGCTACTGCGTGAGGCAAGACTTCGCGGGTCGTCTTTCAGGGACACAGTAATCTTAATTGTGCTGGTATGTGTTTGAGATGATGACGGTGTTATTGCAACAAGCTTTCAGGACTTTGCTGCTGCTTTGAACATCAGCTTTCGTCATGCAGATGAGGATTGGGATGTGGTTTAGGGTTTAGTGCTCTTGTGTGTGTTTCTGGGGGAAGTGGTGTCGTCTTCACAGACAACACACGAAGTGCCTTGCCCATGGCTGGAACTCATACTTGTTCGCCAATAGCGATGCAGTCGTTATCGTCGTCGTCCGAAGGGGAGGAGGAGTAGGAGTAGGGGTATTGAGGGGTAGGAGTTGGATTAGGTGTCGGCGTACGGGTAGTAGGAGTGGCAGCAGTAGCAGCCCCACGTGCAGAGCGTCCAAGGTTCCAATGTCTTCGAACTTTTTCGGCCGTAAGCCTGAAGCCAAGCAAGAAACCCTGAACCCTAAAGCCTAAACTTGGGCTGGTCCCGGCTCTCAACCCACAGCCCGAAACTGTAGACCCGAATCCCTGGGCCCTGAGCCCGAAAGCGCTTCATATAAAAGTATTTAACTAGATAAATAGTTAGATAGATAAATCCGTACAAATATATATATATATATATGTATCTACGGTTCATAATCGTAGGTGTGTATACAAATATATACATGTGTATATATATATATACACATGTATACACATGTATGTATGTATGCATGCATGCATGTATGTATGTATGTATGTATGTATGCACGTATATATATATATATATTCACATCACTGAAAGCCTTTAGAGAGTAGAGAGGGAAATGGGCTTTCTGGTTCTGTGGGTTCGAACCACTGTAAACCCCGATCCGAGGGTGCCGTGTATGGTCTACAGGATCAGGAGCTGTGAGCACGGTTTAAGGCTTTAGGGTTGATGGTAAAAATACCTCAAACCCTAAACCTTGAACCCTAAACCCTAAACCGCAGGCTCTGTTGGAGTCGATGCAGACCTCTTCGCCCATCCACCTCCCGATGCTTGCGGCTTCTGGGACCGCAGTTCCTAAGTAGGGGTTTAGGATGTAAGTGGGGGTTTAGGGCGCTTTTGGGGTTTATAGTAGTAGTAGGATTCATTAGAGTTACGGGTTTAAAGTTTAAGGATGGATAGTTGAGGGCTCGGGTATGTTATGGGTAGTGACTTAAGTTGTTCCCCCGCAGGAGTACCGGAAGAACGGCCTTGATCACGACCCCTGCCCATTCGCCGTAAGTTCTGTGCCTGCACATTTGAAGGCCAACATTCTGCAACCGTTGCTAAAGCAGCTTTCATTCTAGTTGTTTATCGAAAAACTTGGGAGTCCAGGACTAACGACCCTACTTCTTCGTATTTGCAGTCCTTCCTTCATACTCGCAACCGCTCATCGCATGTCTTTCCCGTGCTGCCAAGAAAGGTGTCTAGGCCTGCATCAACACGAGCAATGATATTGCTTCCGCATGGGCAGGAATGCACATCTTGCAAGAACCGCTGTGCTCCCAACGGCGATCTAAAGCTCCCTAAACCCTAAGCCCTAAAACCCTTAACCCGCAAGAGTGAGCTGAGGGGGTCTTAGTCCGTCTTCCCTCGGATGGATTCTGAAAGCAACGGCAGGCGGAAAAAGGCGCTCAAAAACAACTGAAACCCTCAAAAAAAAAACCGAACCCTATGTCCCTACAGCCCCAAAATCCCTTAACCCTAGACCCCCTTAATCCCTGAAGCCCACAAAATCCCCAAACCCTAAACCCTAAACCCTAGACCGTAAACATCCTGGAGCGCCAAAAAACGAGGAATCAAGAGCCTGAAATCCGTCCCAAAGCTACAGAGATTGCTCCGAACCGCAGACTCTCTGGCTCCAAGTTTGACTTTTCGTGGTTTAGGATTTTGGGGTTTCGGGTTTAGGATCTGCTGGGGTTTGGGGGTTTTAGGATTCAGGGTTCGTAGCGCTTTGAGGGGGTACTAGAAGGGATACCCGCAATGTCCGGCTCTTAAACCCTAAACCCCTCAACCCCTGCCCATAGGCCCTAAAAGTAGTTCCTTTCTGGGGTTCATACATAGAATCCTATAAGGTAACCCCAAAAAGGATCTACTATGGGGCCTATGGTATAAGGTAACCCCAAAAAGGAACCACTATGGGGCCTATGGCCCTTACTGTAACCCTCTAAGTCTGGCGGACAGGAGTCCGCAGAAATCAGAATTTGGGAGATTAGGACCCTCGAAACCCTAGGTTTTAGGGTTTAGCTTAGGTTTTAGGAAAGTTTAGGGTTTATAAAGTTTAGGGTTTAGGGTTTAGGGTTTCGTTTCGTAGTTTAGGGTTCAGGGTTTATACTGGCTACCAGCCCTATGACTGTGACCCAAAACTGAGAGCCCCAAAGCCCGCGTATCCCTCCAGCCTTGAATGCAGCTATGCTTTTCGCGACAGGTTCGGCACTGATGTTTTGGTAGCTCACAGTATGTCGATTATAGTGGAAGTCGCACTGCTTAGTGGCAAGACAGCTTCTGTGAAGGCTAACTTGGACGAGAAGGTGCAAGCATTACAACTTAGGGCGCAGAATGCACTTGGAGTTGGAAACGGGAGGCTGCTGGACTCATCCGGAAGCGATCTGGATGCAGGGGTACTGATCGAGAAGGCCAATTTGCAGAATGGCGACTCGCTGACCCTGCACATACACCGTGTTCAAGTTCAATACTCCAGTGGCACTTTCGCCGCCGTTCTTGGGGATAGAACCGTTGTGACTTGGGGAGAAACGACAATGGTGGTGACAACAAATGCTGTGCCGGCTCAGCTGAAGAACGTGCAGCAGATTCAAGCTACCAGAATCGGCGGCACTTTTGCAGCCATTCTTGCAGACGAATCCGTCGTGACCTGGGGTGATTTGGGCGCTGGTGGTGACAGCAGCGCTGTGCAGGATCGGCTGAAGCACGTGCAGCAAGTGCAAGCCGCTGAGTATGCTTTTGCTGCTATTCTTGGCGATGGTTCTGTCGCGACCTGGGGTGTGAATGAGTTTGGCGGTGACAGCAGTGCCGTGAAAGATCAGCTTAAAAATGTGCAGCAAGTCCAAGCTGCTCTCTGGGCATTTGCCGCCATTCTTGTTGATGGATCCGTCGTGACATGGGGTTATGCTGGGACTGGTGGTGACAGTAGTGCTGTGCGGGATCAGCTGAAGAACGTACAGCAAATCCAAGCGTCTTCTCACGCTTTTGCTGCCATCTGTGGCGATGGTTCTGTCGTGACCTGGGGTCTTGCTAGTGCTGGTGGTGACAGTCGACCTGTGCAGGACCAGCTGAAAAATGTGCAGCATATCCAAGCCTCAGAGAAAGCTTTTGCCGCCATTCTTGTTGATGGTTCTGTCGTGACTTGGGGTGAACCTGAGTATGGTGGTGACAGCAGTGTTGTGCAGGATCAGCTGCAGAATGTGCAGCAAATCCAAGGCACCGCATTCCCTTCCGGACTTTGTGGAGGGGCTTTTGCTGCCATTCTTCGCGATGGTAGCGTCGTGACTTGGGGTCATGCTCACTGTGGTGGTGACAGTAGTGCCGTGCAGGCACGGCTGCAGCATGTGCAGCAAATACAGGCCTCTGGCGGGGCTTTTGCTGCCATTCTCGGTAATGGGTCTGTTGTGACTTGGGGTGCGGCTGAAGATGGTGGTAACAGCAGTGCTGTGCAAGATAGGCTGAAGACTGTGAAGCATGTCCAGGCCTCACAGAAAGCTTTTGCTGCTATTCTCGGCGATGGCTCTGTCGTGACTTGGGGTGAAGATGAGTATGGTGCCGACAGCAGTGGTGTGCAGGATCAGCTGCAGAATGTGCAGCAACTCCAAGCCTCACAGAGAGCTTTTGCTGCCACTCTCGCAAACGGGAAGATCGTGACGTGGGGGTAGTACTGAGGATGGTGGTGACAGCAGCGTTGTTCATGTCCAGATCAGTTAACAATTCGCAGCCCATTCCATGTGAAGTTGCTTTTGCTGCATTTCTTGACCCCTAAACCCCTAAACCCTAAACCCTAGATTCTTGGACCTGGAGCATCGTTACCTGGGCCTGGTGGTGAGAGTGCTCACGATGAGCCGAAAGATCAAGCAGCTAATATACTAGGGGCCCCAATAATTACCTATATTATTTTGGGGGTTCCTTATTCCCCAAACAGCTTTAGCTGNNTTGTTTAATAGAAAAGGATTCTGTAACGCGCATTTGGATTTCTCATGGCACTACTCTAAAAAACGCTACTCATTTGTCTCCCACTTGTCTCCCGTTTGATTTGTCTCCCACTTGCTGTTTGGGGTCGAGGCTGGTATAATTATAGTTATAGTATAATATACCCCAAAACCCTATTCTTATTATTAAGGCCCCTACATTATGATTGTGTCGCTAGGTCGTTGATGAGTTCACAGCAACATCTTGCACAAGAGTGGAACGAGCAGTTGCGACAGAACGAAGCAGTCATTACATGGACTGTAAGATCCAGAAAGGACATGAGAATATCGGGGAACAGCATCTGCGAAGCAGCATCTATACCCAGTCTCCCGACATCCGCCCCCGCGGGGTTGGCGGACGTTTCCGTGCCGGCAAGAGTTTTGGTTTGGTTCACCGTTTCGGTTTCTGTGGGTGGGTTGGAGGCTTGACAGATCCATTATGCTATCTTTCAGCTACCCACAGAGCCCTAAATACCTCAATTGAGGAATGCACCTGAACTCAAAATATGAAGCCGTTTATAGTTCAATCTGCATGTCTGGGGGGCCGGAAACATAATCGCAGATTCGACGTTTGGGCTCGCCAACCAAAGGCTAGTTGTAATGAGCTCTCTCTCACATCTAGTGTAGACACATGTAGACACCCCAAACATAGAAACCGAATACCCTAAAACCTTTGCCCGTAATCCAAAACCAATGAACCACAAATGCAGCATCCAATACGATAGAGGCCTGAACAATTAGTCTAAATGTATACCCGTACAATAGCCCCCATACGACGATAGCAACATTCCCCCAAACCCAACGACAATTTTCGAGGTCGCTGTTAAAACCCGTAAGACTTTTACAATGACGCGGTTCTAATTCGTGAGGACCGATATAACCCCAATATAGGGGTCGGAATGCTTGCTTAAAGCCCCTGACACTGAACAAAACCCATTTCTAATTGCTTATCATGGCCCCTACACCAAATCTCTATGCTACCCCGTAATGAAAACCCTTCAACGGAACTCTAACCCGAAACCCTAAGCCCTAAGCCCTCAGCCCTA